CCGCGCCGCACTGCCCCCCGCTACCCCAAGATTGGCCGCCCCTTACCAGGTGCCGCCCCAAGCATGTGCTTGGTTGCCTGGTGCCTGGAGCCTGCCCTGAACAGAACTGACCTTTTCAAACTATTCCTCAGAGTTTTCCAAGAAAGGGCAATAACATTTGGCAGCAAGTCACAAAGCAAAGCTTTGTCAAAATACACAGGGGATCAATTCAACGGTGCCAGAAATAATGGTGTAAGTTCCTGAAATGGGTGTAAATGCACACTCCGTCTTATATCCTCCTGTTGGCTACTCTTCAGGCTACAGTCCTCTCCCCCCAGCCTGCAGTGTACACCCACCTTCCCGCATGTCATTTACACCACTATTTACTGCACCTCTGAACTGGGCAGGTTTGAAAACAATTAGTGGAGGAGGGAAGAGAAGAAAAAACATCTTTTTTTGCCCCTGACTACAAACCTTAGTCTCCCAAATGGGATCCCAGACAGCCAAAGCTGCAGCAAGGTCAGTCTCCCAGACCACACAATCCAGGTTAATTCAATTAGTGAATTAGAAGCAGTACATTGGAAGACAGATAATATGCAGTTATTGATATCCTCCATAAAAAACAAATTAGCAATACTTAGCACTCAAAAATGACCAAACTGGAAGGCCAAGTACATATTGCTACGAATCAACTGGACTTCGAGAACATATTTATAAAGATGGCTACCTCTGATTTTAAGAGGTTCACCACTCTCTTTATTAAGGGGATCCCTTCTCTGGAGAAGTGTAAGGAAACTACAGAAAACTCAAAATCAGGAAAAATGTTTTCAAAAGCTGGGATTCTCAGTGGTCAAAGAAACCGGTAGCCCAAATGAATGAGCCACTGAGCGATACTGAAATGACAGCATATCAGCATGGAGGATGACCGTATGTGTTACTGAATTTCAGTAAGAACCAGATGGCAAGGTTAAGATTTGGGAGCCATAACCACTGTAAGATGTTGGAACAAAGGTCACTTTCTCAATGCCCTATAAACAGTGGGGTAATTCTATATGAAGAGATATAGGCTCCATGCTTATTTCTCAGATTAGTGTGACTTAACTGAGGTTAAGACGAAACTTGCTGATGAAGGAACCACTGCAGCTGTTCTCCATGTATTTTTCTTTCTAACTATACTTCGTAAAAACGGTTCGTTCTGGGGCAGTGAAACTTCATCTGGTTTTAAGAGAAAGGAAGAAAAGGAAACTTGAAACATTTTCTTAGCTAGCATAGATAAGCATAATTCCGTTGACTTCAGTGGAACTATGCCAATCTACATCAGCTGAGAATCTGGGTCTTTATTTTTAAATAGCAGTTTCTGTTCATAACCTCTGTGAGGCAGCTGTAGGTATTTCTCTGATGATGTCCGATGAAGAGCAGATAGCCAGTGTTCCAGCAGAGGTCATTGTTGAGATACTATCTGTGGTAAACAAACAATTCTCTTCTGCTTTCTCCCTCAAAGAGGCAGTTTGTTGGAAACAACAGGGCACAGTCTGTTGGCACCAGGGAACACAACAATTGTTAAGAGGGACAATGTCACCTCTGAACCCTTCCTCTACCCCTGTAATGGTTCCCTATATCATACCTCTGTGCAGGAGGAAAGGAACGTGTGAAGGGAGTTATGGCTTGCACAGTAATCATAAATCTGCCAAATTAATACATACAGCA